GGGAAAGAGATAGGGTAAAGGAAAAGGAAAGAGATAAACAAAAAGATAGAGAAAAAGAGAGAGATAATGAGAAGGAAAAGGAAAAAGAGAAGTCTAAAGAGAAGTCTAAGGATAGGGAGAAGGATAGGACAAGAGATAAGGAGAGGATAAGTAAGAAAAGCCGTGAAGATGATGATGAGACTGGCAAGGCTATAGAAAAGTGCGAACATGATGACAACAAAGATGAAAATGAAGGCGGTGATGGTGTTGATGGTGCATCGGGTGGGAAACAAGAATCAGTATTGGATCTTGAGGAGCGCATTTTAAGGTAAGTGATTCTTTAAATGTTCCTACATATATGATTCCTTTAATGCTTATTATGAAATTTGTAGCTGTTTTTTATATTCATAAGTCAATCATATTGTAAGGACTAAGAAGTAAGCAATATATATTTGCTGATATTGATTAGAAACTTGCCAGATCTGCTGTTTGTTTTGCTGTTGGCTGATCTTAATAAAAAGTATCTGTAGTATATGAATTGAAGTTCTAGGTGCAGCTTTTCATATTTCTTGTGGAAGCTATATCTTGTTATTTATTGCTTCTTGCTTATTGCTGATAATATTTTCTTTTTCTGTTTTGAAGGTTCTGCTTATTCATCTAATGTTAACATAAAGAAACTTGTATATATGATTTGGATATAAATATTAAACTTAATTTTGCGTTCTTTTTAGGATGAGGGAAGAACGATTGGCAAAGAAATCCGAGGCTGCTTCTGAGGTTTTGTCGTGGGTTTCTAAGAGCCGTAAGATTGAAGAGAAAAGAAATGCCGGAAAGGAAAGAGCTCATCAGCTTTCGAGAATATTTGAAGAACAGGTATTCTTCCTTTGAAGTATTTCCTGCACTGCATCCCGCTAAAATTCCTTTGTGCTGACATTTTTAATAATTTGTGCTATGGTATATTCATTCAGGAGAATCTTATTCTAGGTGAAGATGAAGATGGAGAGGATGGCAGTAACATTTCTCGTAAGTATCTCTTTCTCTTAGTGTTTTTATACAATCGGCTTGCTAAATTATTTTGTTAAATCTAGATTTTTTGTTGGGCTCCAGTCCTTTGCACACTCAACTGAAAACTAGTTTTAGAAGTGGTCCTGAAACTTATATTATTTTTCTTAATTCAACTAATTCTTTTTTCCGATTATGTGTAGTTGTCCAAATGATGCTCTTATACCTGTAAAATTTGCTCTTTTCCATCTTTCTATTATATATTTGTGCTACAGTCTAGTTGATTGTGTTCATATTGTTGTTAACGTGGTTAACAGATGATCTAGCTGGTGTCAAAGTTTTGCATGGCCTAGACAAAGTGATGGACGGCGGAGCAGTTGTTTTGACCCTCAAGGACCAGAGTATCCTTGCCGATGGAGATGTTAATGATGGTTAGTGTTTTTATGTTCTTTTATTTCAATCTACCTTGATGATGCATGCATCTTTTTGTTACTGAGATTTTTGAGAAATATCCTGACAGAGATCGATATGCTGGAAAATGTGGAAATTGGGGAGCAGAAGCGTCGAAATGAAGCTTACGAAGCAGCAAAGAGAAAACCGGGAGTATATTATGATAAGTAAGTTGAGATATCTAGACTACATTAAGTTGATCATATCTATATTACTTTACTAACAAAGAACTGAAAGATGGGTTTGTTTGGTAATTTCAGGTTTAATGATGAGCCTGGTGCAGATAAGAAGATACTTCCGCAATATGATGAGCCAGCTGATGATGAGGTCAGTTACTCTGCTTTGTATTTATCGAATGCAAGGTCTTTGTATTAAGCATCCTTTTGAATGTGTTTTTGTGGTGTTATTGGCTCCAGGGAGTGATATTGGATGCAAAGGGCCGCTTTACAGGTGAAGCAGAGAAGAAACTGGAGGAGGTATGTTCTTCCTAGCACTCTCATAATTGAATAGAATAGAGGTAGTATTTGCTAATGATGTTGATGTAGGAGAGAATTAGTGTGGATTTTGTTGCCCAATTTTGCTGTTTCCATATTCCTTTTTCTATTTTCCGTTTTCCTTTTAGATTTTTTCGGTGATGCATTAGGTTGTAATTCTTACTTCGGTGTAAAGGGGACCTTCTATTTAGTTCTAGACACACCGATAACATCTTCTGTAGTAGCATCATGGTTGCCTAATGTTTTCGGTAATTTCTTCTAGTTTCTTTTGAAATGTTCTTTTGCTGTGTTTTACTTATTTATTTCATTCTTTCTGTTAGCTTCGTCGAAGAATTCAGGGTCAATCAACTAATAGCTTTGAGGACCTTAGCTCATCAGTAAAGATCTCATCAGATTACTTCACGCAAGAAGAAATGCTTCGGTTCAAAAAACCCAAGAAAAAGAAATCATTACGAAAAAAAGATAAATTGGATATAGATTCCCTTGAAGCAGAAGCTGTTGCTTCAGGTTTAGGAGCTGAGGATCTTGGTTCTCGAAAAGATGGCAAAAGACAAGCCATGAGGGAGGAGCAAGAGAGGGCCGAAGCTGAAAAACGGAGCAATGCGTATCAGGCAGCTTATGCCAAGGCCGATGAGGCATCCAGATTACTCAGGATGCAACAAGTTCAGCCTGTTAATGTGGAAGTAGATGAGAATATGGTGTTTGCTGATGATAATGATGATCTGTATAAATCCTTAGAGAGAGCTAGGAAGCTAGCTCTCAAAAAGCAAGAGGAGGAAGGAATTGGACCTCAAGCAGTTGCACGTCTTGCGGCTTCTACAACTAATCAAACAACAGATGATAGAAACCCTGCAGAAGCTGAGGCGCAAGAAAATAAAGTGGTTTTCACAGAAATGGAAGAATTCGTCTGGGGTCTCCAACTCGATGAAGGTAAACGTTGAAATCATGTTGTCACATGAATAGACTCTTCTTTGTTTCTTTATCCTCCGTTTTACATATCTGCTGTGATAAATAACCCATTATCCTGTGATAAATAGTGAATTAGAACTATCCTATTTGAGAATGATTAACAGTTCATAGTTATGATTTATTGTTTTTATCTTTCAGATGTGCGCAAGCCCGAAAGTGAAGATGTTTTCATGGATGAAGATGAAGCACCCAAAGCTCCTGTTGAAGTAAGAGAGGAGGAACCTAGCGGTTGGGCTGAAGTGACAGACGGTGCTACGGATGCGGACCCTTTATCAGATGTCAAGGAGGTAACTCCTGATGAAGCTATACATGAGGTTGCTTTTGGGAAGGGATTATCTGGTGCGTTAAAGCTTCTTAAAGAGCGAGGAACTCTAAAGGAGACAGTTGAATGGGGTGGTAGAAACATGGACAAGAAAAAGAGCAAGCTTGTAGGTATCGTGGATGACAATGGAGACAAAGAGAGATTTAAGGATATCCGGATTGAGAGGACTGATGAGTTTGGCAGAACTGTAAGTTTTTTACCCTTTCCTCAATTTATTTTCAATGTTTTATTTGCTCGATTATGGTTACCAATGCTGTGTTGAACAACTCATGAAAGCTGGCTACATTTGTTTGTTTTGGCATAGTATCATTTTGCCTGTTCTCTCTAGCATGTTTATGGTCTTGAAAGTTATCACACTTTTTCCCATTATATCGCGAGAAGTCATGGGGTTATATGTCATTTCATCTTTGTCAATAAAGAGGGGGTGTAATAGTCTGACCGTAGGATTGGTGTTTAGTTAAAGCCAAGGTTATGATCCTTTCTATATATACTTGACGTTCTGCCTTTTTTTGTTAACAGTTGACTCCAAAAGAAGCCTTCCGGTTACTCTCTCACAAATTCCATGGGAAGGGGCCTGGAAAGATGAAGCAAGAGAAGCGGATGAAACAATACCAGGAGGAGCTTAAGTTAAAGCAAATGAAAAATTCAGATACACCATCACTTTCTGTGGAAAGGATGCGAGAAGCTCAAGCTCAATTGAAGACTCCCTACCTTGTCCTCAGCGGTCATGTCAAGCCCGGGTATGTTAACGTATTCCTTTGTTAATTAGTATCTTCATGGTTTAGCGACAGTTAAGCTATTAGTTCAGAACGAGACACTTGCCAACTTTCGATGATGTGCTATTTGCAGTCAAACTAGTGATCCCCAGAGTGGTTTTGCTACAGTCGAGAAGGTTGTTCCAGGGAGCTTGACGCCTATGCTTGGTGACAAAAAGGTGAGTCAGACTCTCTGGTTTCCCCGAAATTGTAAAGGGCTTACGAATGCTTTAGGAGTTTGTGTGGCATTAGCTGGCATTAGAGAGTGTGTGTGTGCATATAACGACAATGCAGATTGGACTTCTTTTGAATGATGGATTCTGATTGATTCTTCCGCACGAAATGTTTCAGGTAGAACATTTCTTGGGTATAAAGCGCAAAGCTGAGGGCGGGAATTCAAGCACACCGAAGAGGCCAAAACCCTGAGAAAGTTTTCACACCTATCCCCGCCAGGTGTTACTAATGGCACATGCAATACAGGCCTGAAGGCTCATTTGGAGGAAAAATGGTACAAACATTATATCTTTGTACTTTGTTGTACTATGGATATCCGAATCTTTTTTCTTTTTCTTCAGGTTGGGGCTTCAACTTTCATTTTGCATTTGTGTGGGTTTCTCCATTCTTCACTTCATCAGTCTCAAGGGGGGATATTATTATTGCAAGTAGAGTGGTGTTTGGACTCTTGAGAAACACAATTGTTTTCCTTTGATGTATGTGGTTGTGGTGGAACCATTGCCCCAATTATCTCAGGTAATGTCTGATCGTTTAGCGAGAAATAAATAGTAAATACCATGCTTGTGTTGTAGACAGCTTTATCTATTGGTGGATTGTCCTTGGCAAATTAGTTTTTTTTTTAAGAAGGAAAATGCGATGTCTGTACTCATTGGTTTTTCGTGTTCTTTCGAAATTTCTTTCTAATTTACCTTATGATCAAATCTTGCACAGACGATGAATCAAAGAGACAAGACAAGTCAAAGGTACGTAACCATTTCTCTCTCCGGTTATTCTAACTTGGAAATGTAATGAGAAATGTCGGAATAGTTGTATTTCATCCACAAATCTTTCTTGTCAATTCCGTGCAAAGATGCTAAAGCTAATAAGCATAAATGCCAAATCCCCATGCCTCAACTTGCATGTGGATGCGAATCTATGCATATAAAGTTATAAACCATCAAAATCAGAGAATATAATAAGTGGATAGGCTAACTTCTATGGTTCAAACAATGCGATGATCCAGAACCAAGCAAAAAAGAAAGGGACCATAATGAAGATAATTAAACAAGAGACGCATCTTCCAATAGAATCACAAACAGAACGTGAAGACGAAAGATTGCCCACTAAAGATTATTAATTTATGAAAAGTAGACGAATCTTCATCAAATCAAATGGCACATATGGTAAGAGAGCATTACCTAATGCATTTAGATCAACACAAGCAGGGAATCCAGGTTTTTCCAAGAGAATCATAGAGACCTATATCAGTAAATTGCTCTAACATCCCTACCATAAAAGCCATATGGATAGTAAGTAATCAGGAGGACCTCTCAACACATCATCATCATTATAGTTATGCAACAAGAGGAGCTTCATCGAGACAATAACATACCTTCTTGCACAAGAACTGGTGTGTTCTGAATGATCCAGGGGCAGAGCAAGGGTCTTTCTTCGGCATGATCTGGATGACCGATATAAGAGCATCCAGCCACAATTTTCAATTTTATACCCCACAAAGTACAAGATGATTGACCCTGAAATTTGAAACAGGAAACAGAAAGCTATTGTCTTGCTACATCCATGACAATACAAGAAGCACTTAATTCTTCCAACAAGAAGGGCTGTACTCTGATGTTTTTCTTCTTAAACAACTCAAGATGAAGAGGAAGGCAAACATACGCACCTTGATAATCAACTATCTGATTACCAGAGTTAACATCACATCAATGATGAGATGAAACGCATTTTTCCAATAGATCATGATCATATTATTCCGACAATCAATTAGGGCAAAATAAAGAACAGAACAGGAGGCAAGAAACTGAAATTTCAATGCTTTCCAAAGTGGCAACAGTTATGCATTTGAGCAAGGCTTGCAAAACTTGGCAGTGAAAGAAAACAGGAACACATTAACAAGTTCAAGAATTGAAAAGGTACCCCAATATGGCATCCCCAAACAAAATTAGCAGCAAGCCACAAAAGGCCGGACAAGTGCCTTTGAAATGCAATCCTTTGAGAAGTCTGCAATTGCAAATCCTCCAAACGATATTGCATGTGTACAAATCCTCAACACCAGCATAAGGACCAATTCTGCAGATTTTTACAGCCTACTCTTTCCTTCCGTCACTAACACCACTGGCATCGTCGGTCACACTCTCAGTAGCCATTTTTACCTCGTGCTCAGTAGCCATTTTCACCTCATGCTTCTTTCTTGTGACAATGTCCCAGAAGAAACTCGTCAAGACGGGCTCGTATGATGGCATTTTTGCATACCCGGGGAAGTAGTTAATGTCAATTATAAGGTACCGATTAACATCTTTAGCGTCTCTAATCACATCAAAGTTAAAAAGATTGAGCCCCATGGCCTCTCTCATGGCCTTTGCCAAATCCGTCAAGAAACTAAATGGAGGCATTTCTACACTCTCTAGACTCAAATCATCCCCATAATCCTTCCTATCTTCTTGCACAGTCAAATTCGAAATCTGCGAAAATGGCAGAGACCCTTTCATGGTACCGATCTTCTCTTCCGAAATGTCAGGCAAGGATCTTCTCTTTACACATTTCACGCGATCACCGACAACATAGACCTTGAAAATCACACCGCCATGATTCACAAACTCCTGCAACACAACCGGGGCATTCAAAACCTTCATCCCGTCTTGATCAAACACCAGATACATTTTGTGCGACTTCGCACTCCCGTCGGCCTCCAATGGCTTCGCTACTACTGGAAATTTGAGTTCTCCCATGGCTCCTTCACCGCTCAGAGCACTCGGGTCCAAAACCACAACTTGCTCCGGTACACCAAATCTCTCACTGTTCAACATAGGAACCTTTAACTGAGTAACAACCTCAAGCATCGAAACCCTGTTGTGAAGCCGCTCAATCGCCTCCGGCGAATCGATGACCGGAACGCCGGGGCATTTCGCGCGAAAATCGTGGAGCTTCTCCTTCCAATCGACATCATAAAGCTTCTGGATAATGCAATCTAGATTTCCTTGATCGAACAAGGACTTCGTCGGATCGAGCTTGACCAGATCAATGCCGCGTTGCCGCGCATGTTCGATCAACGAAGGCCGCATGAAACTATGCTCTTTCTTGGGAGCGAGAGCGTATCCGACTAGATATCTCTTCGGGACTGGATCCGACATCTTGAGTTCTGTTTGAAATGTGAGAGAGAAGAGAGGGAAAAAGTCATACCAGGAACAAAAACCTCCTCCAACTCCGAAACCCAGCGAAACCAGAATCGGAAAGCAAATTCTATATAGAAACCTCGATCAGATCGAGAAGAATCATACAAAATTAGGGTTTTATTCTTTCGAAATATAAATGGGAAGGAGACAGTGGATCTTGTCCACGTGATGGGAGATGGGACGTGGTAAATGCAAGTCTGAGATGCGTGATACGTATTAAGCGTTGACCGGACACGTGTAAATATCTAAGCTTGTTTCAAGTTAACGGCTACGATTGCTTCGTAGGATGAAGTGATTGTTGTGGACCGTTAGATTTGGATTTTGTACTGACCGTCACAATCAGTACTTTAGCATGTTAGATCATTCCTCCACGTGAAATTCTTGTAACCTCGGATCTTAGAACTTCACTATTTGAAGGAAAATATTTATTTAAAAAAAAAAAAAATTTGTTTATTCACTTTATTGTCGCACCGAATGATCTGATTTTTAAATATTTACTTTGATATTTTTACCAAAACAATATTTCTTATCAATAAAAAAAATCAAAGGTAATGTTTCGATACTGATATTTTTAATATAATAATTTTGAAATGATAATTGCACAAAGATAAGAATTTTGTTTTCTCTTCTATTTTTAATATAAATGAATATAATAATATGTTTTTGTTTTAAAGTTCATTTGATTTCATTCAGAAATACCTTCTATATCCATAAAAATTCTATGTAAATTATGCCATAAAAATTAATTTGAAAATTATAGACTTCTAAATTATATTTATTTTAAAAAGGAACAGAATAAAAATTCGAAAAAAAAAAATCTGCAAGGAGTTAAAAAATTATATATATATAAGATATATATATATATAAGGAGTTAAAAAAATATATATATATATATATATATATAAATTGTAATGGTTTATAGTCCGTAAATCCATGGGCCAACGAATGAGCCGGCTAAGCTATTAACTACTCCAACTACTGGGCTTTATTCGGGAAACATTGATGGGCCTTTCAAATAATATTATTAACCACATCCATAGTCAACGCACGCGCACATGTGGCGCGTGAGGTTCACCGCACAAAAATCCCTGGACAAAATAGTCCATAGATTTTGAACATTTTCAGAAAAAACCGGAAACGTGGCGCGTGGAAAGAAATTGATTAGCGGTCGCGAGCTTCCGTACGGTGACAACACTGTGACCAGCACTCGCCGTCACAGACACAAATTTGTTCGGCTCCAACGCAAAATTTCACAAGTTTTTACTCCATTTAATTTCCATTCACAAATAACTTTCATATCTATATTAATATTTTTGTTAATTATAGTAACAAAAATTAATTTGAAATTTATAGAATTCGTAAATTATTTTTTTGTATTTTAAAATGGCATAGATTGTAAATTTGAAAAAGAAATGCTGTGAGGAACGGGGCGCGCTAAGCTAAAATTATATCTAAAATTAATTATTTTGTAGTATATAGACCGTAGATTATTTTCCTCTAAAATAAAATCATATCTAAAATTAATTATTTTGTAGGATATGGGCCGTAATTCCATGGGCCAACGGATGGGCTCGCTAAGCTATTAATTGCTCCAGAAACTGGGCCTCGTTTTGGAAAAACTTAATGGGCCTTTCAAATAGTATTAACCTCCCCGAAACGGGGCGCGTGGAAAGAGTCTGAATATGGATGGTGAGCTTCGCTACGGTGACAGCGCTGTAACCTGCACTCGCCGTCACAGACGCAAAGATTTATGCTTTAGGCCATAGTATCCATTTAGCCCCAACCAATGACCAAATATGCCTTAAAGTTTGCACCTTTCCTTCGTATGGAAGGCATGTATATAACAAGAATCTAAATATTACGTGGAAGAATAATCATGTTTTTTGTCGATGAAATTATGATTAGAGAAGAAGAAAAACGTAGAAGAGACTGCTTTCTCCATGAACAATCACATTCCAATCAGTCTCTCGTATGTATACATACAACATGAGAAAGAGACGGAAACTTCGCAAGAAGAAGAAAAAAAAAGAATCACAGTGCATACCCAAACCAAAGGCAAGTGTGAAAATACTGATGAAACCAAACAAAAAAAAAAGGGTATACATAATATATATATATATAGGTGGACGTATATATGTGTATGTATAGAGAGGGTGTTTAGGCTTACCTCAAATGAGTCAAGATCTGTTACTTGTGGTTCACGGTTCCTTTCTTCTTGAGAAGATTCCCGACCTTACCAAACAAGGTCTTCTTCTTCTTCTTCTTGTCCTGCTGCTCTTCTGCAGTCAATGCGTTTCCACCTGTTTCATCTACGTTCTCTGGTGAAGTTTTGTCGCTTTCGTCTATCCTTGCTAAATCTTCTTCTTCTTCTTCTGGTTCCGACCTTTTCTCGGGAAAAGCTTCTTTCTTTTCGATTTGGCAGCTCTCCCACATTTTGAATTCGACTTCAACCGAGTCATTTTCCGGAGAATCTTCTCTCTTTTCTCCATCTTCATGGTTTTCCTCGGGCTTCCCATTTGCTTCTTTATCCTTCACGCCGTTGCTCATGTCACTTTGTGGAGCTTTTTCGAGGGTTTCTACTTTAGAGGGCTTCTCTTCTCCACTCCTATGGCCATTCTCCTCGGAAAACTCAACCACCTTTGGAAGCAAATCATAGTCCTTTTCACTCTCACTGAGCTCGCCGTTCTCTTCTGTTTGCTTCTTGGCCGATGCTTCCTCAAGTAACTTGGACAACTCCTCGATCTTCATCAGAGAAATTTCCTCCTTCATTCTCAGTTCCTCGTTCTCATGGACAACGCTTTGGAATTCTGTCTCTTTATCCAACAGATTCTCCTTCAGTTTCATGCTTTCGGCTTTAGCTTCAGCAAGAGTTTCCTGAAGATAAATCACCTCATCTTCCACTTCTTTCAGGCTATTTTCCATCTGGGCTTCTTTCTTCTTAGCTGCATTGGTTTCTTCCTCGGTTCTCTTTAGTGAATTAGACAACCTGTTCATTTCTTTCCCCATTGAAGCAACTTCTTCTTCCATTTTCTTCACCTGATTCACCAGATTGGCCTCTTTGATCTCCCAATCAGCCTTCGAGCTCTCAAAGTGTTTATTGGTTTGCTCCACTGCGCTGACAAGAACATCAATCTCATGTCTCGCTTCATCAAGCATGTTCTCATACTTCTCGTTCGTTGCCTTAATCACCAATTTCAGATCTTCTATTTGGTTCTCATATTCATGATCACCTTGACTCAACAACTTCTCTTTTAACTCCCTTGCCTCAGTTGAGACTTCATGCAAAGCCGAAGCTAAACTCTCCATTGCTTTCTTACTCTTCTCCTCTTCCTCCTTCGAGGTCTCCAGTTCTGATACTAGCTTGTTTTTCTCCTCCAAGAGCTTTTCAACACTTGAAGCAGCATCTAGTTTGCTTTTCAAAGCCTGATTTTTCTCCTCCTTCGCCGTTTCAAGCTCGTTCTTCAGTTTCTCTGCCTCTTTTTCGACCTTAGAGATTTCTTCTTTGGCAATGCCAATCTGGCGCTCAGATTCCTCAAGATCCTCCTTCTGTGTTTGAACTGTAATCTCTAGTGACCCGACTTTCTCCTTAAGGTCGGAAAGTTCAGATTCAGATTCACGCAGTCTATCCTTGCTTCCTTCAAGTTGTTTCATCACAGATTCCAACGATACCGAGGCAGATCTCTCCAGCTTGTTAACTTCTTCTAGTTGTTCCCCCAGTTCTTCGGCTTTGCTCTTCCACTCCTCAGCTGAGCTCTGTGCACAAGATTCCGCCATCTTTGCAGCTTCTAGGTCCGAACTGAGCTGCTCGATAACCAACTCTCGTTCTTCTACCTCTGCCTCAAAACTTCTCGCTTTCTCAAGCTCTCCTTTTAAACCCTCTATCTCAGCACTTAGTTTGGAGGAAATCTCGTTGGTTGAAAGGGTTTCCTTTTCTCGTGTGGAATCCAGCAAAGCTTTCAACCGTGCCAACTCTGAAGACAAGATCTCCACTTTTTCGGCATGAATTTCTGCCATCTTGTTCGCATCATCTGCTTGGATCTGGGCTTTATGTTTGCCATCATTGGCAGCAGCCAGTTCTTGCTTAACATTCTCAAGTTCCTCAGTGACCGAGCGAAGAGCAACTGAATCCAAAGCATGTTGGTTTTTCACATTCTCGAGCTCGTTCTTCCATTCCTCTTCTTTTCTCTGGACTGCTTCAATCCCCGCCTCAACAGCCTGAAATTTCTCAATCTCTGAATTCTCCTCAGCCTTCTTCTGAGCTGCCAAAGACTCGTCTAGCTTCTTACTCGCCTCTTCAGCCTCCTTCCGTGCTTCTTTGAGTTCATCAATTGCCTTGGCTTTCTCCTTCTCCAGAGATACTATTTGCTCGTTTGCTTTCTTTAACTCCTCCTGAATTTGATTCAATCGGGATTGTACCTCAGGCCCTTTCACGGCACGTGCTTGGGCTTTCTGAGACCAACGATTAGAAGAAAAATAAAAGTCAACAATCATAGCAGATCTCATAGGAACTTAATTGTGGAAACAACACCAAAATGAGGCCAAAGACATAGCTTCCTGAACAGTTTAGCCAGTGGCTTCCAAGAACACAATGTGCGATTTGCAGAAATTACGCAAATATACCGGTCCCAAATACTATAGTTCTTGAATCCTCACATATCCTTTACAATGCATTAGTAAAAGCTTCAAACACAGACAAATCCGTTATAACACGATCCCATGTCCACTTCAGTCTTTGCAATGGAGAACCATGGATACACTTACTTCTGTTGGGGTTGGAACCTTTGGAGATCGCCTTTCAGTGGAAGGCTTTGAGTTAGCAGAATTTGGAGACCGCTCGGTAATAGAAGGCTTCGAGTTAGCAGAATGTGAAGAACGGTCAATTGAAAGCCGTGGATTTTGAGTAGGTGATGGAGTATTAGCTTCAGATTTAGTCACTCCTCGACTCAGTTTAGACACTCTTGGAGTGGCAGGAGATGACTTGCTCGGCGTAGCTTCAGACAAACCAGCTCTGTTTCAAAGGCAACATAACTACATCAACCACCCATCTTAAACGAGAATCATCCAGCAAGTATAAGAAGGAACACGAAGAACGGAATCCACAAACGAAAGGGAAAATCTCAGTGAAGAATCTGAAAGATCCAATGCCAATAATAATCCATGCTATATTAGGAAACTTTTCACCATGTATGAGTTAAACAAAACAAGAAGAACTCTGAGACTCTCTCCAATACACATCCACTAACCAAGTATATGCTTAGTCCATCAAAATATATCCCAGAATTAAAATAAAGAATACTTTTTCAAAACCCTGAATTCTCTGATATGAACTCTTGCATTTGAATCCTGGTTTCATCTTCCATTTACAGAGGACTCTACTTGTTTGTGGGCAGTCAACAGTTCAGCACAAAAAAAGGAAGCTTTTTCTATGGCTACAATGTAGTAACTCTTCCTGCGTCTGAAGCTTAGATTTTTACTTGTAAATTGGTGAAACATTAGAATGCTTTAAATAATTTTGGGGAAAACAACATTAAGAAATGTAGCGTTCTCACATAGTATAAGATACCGACAAGGAACATGGGACTGCAGAAACAAGAAGACAGATTTCTGAATCATGAGATTAAAAATGAGATAAAAAACAAGGGTTATATAGTGCATGATCTCAATATAAATTTCCAAAAATAAAAGGGTATTTCGCTCTACGACATCGCTGAAAATATCCCCAAATGGTAACTTCAACTTCACAAAATGGAAAGAAACCCAGAAACAATCTCCAGAATAGTTCAGCAACACCCAGATCTGATCTGAAACTAGGAAACTGTTTCGGACAAGACAAAAGGGCAAACTTTAAGAGGATCAAAATGGGCACCAGGCAGAAACTCAAAAGAGAAGACGCTTACTTCGTCTTCGTCGACGCCATATCTGCTGCCTCCTAGTCCGAAGCAGACGATTCTTGTAGTTACAGTAACTGATAAAAGACAGTGAAACTACGAAGACGAAAAAGAATCAAAATCCAATGCTGAATTTCTAAAATTCCCAAACTAGGAACTCCGAAATCTCGTCGATTTCTCCGAAATCTCAGTTGCAGATCAAGAGAGAGACGAAATGATTTTGAATCGGCGAATTAAGGGAAAAGAGAGATGAACTAACAGAGAGAATGATAGAAGCAGGTGTGGCTGTCTCCAGAGTGGCCACACTCCAAAAAAGCCAAAAACAAAACTAATCAATTTTAAAATATAAAAAATAAAAAGGATTTACAAAACTCTTTCTTTGTTAGCAAAAAAAAATCCAATTAAAAGGGGGAAAAAAGGAACGTGAAGACGGTAAAATGACGGAAATGACCCTCGTAGTTCTTCAGTCTTAATCAAAAGGGCAGTGGACTGCAGCTTATCATCATTACATTTCCCAACCAAGATGAAGAGCTAACTGTATTTATTGTTGGATTTTCATTATAAAAATTAAATGAATCTTGTGAAATTTGCTGTGATAATAATGTCATTATGGTACCATAAAGTTTAAGAAATCATAAATTTGTATAGAGTTTCAGTAATTTTGTCATCTTTCTATTAAAATGTAAATTAACTTTGTCACGTTAAAAAAGTGGGATTAAAGGTGAGATTAAGATTTTACCATTTACTAAAAAAAAAATCTGACACTAGGATAAAAAAAATAATATGTTGAAGTTACTTACAAATTACTCAAGAAGTAGATAACGTGAACAATTAATTGTGCAGTGAAATGCGGGGAAAATCACTGTTTGGTTAAAGCGGTTTATAATTGGAACTTTGCATTAACAGTTTTCCAACTAAAAGGTATGTGTAATGTGTTGCCTATAATATTATATTTTTGTAAATTAATGGTTAAATATTTTATGAATCGAGAAATGTTCAAAATTATATCTTCCTTTCGTAGGAAGTTGCCTAAATCTTCACATATTAAAATCTTGATTGATTGGTAGTATTTTTTTTTATTTATGATTGTCCAAAACATAAAAATCAAAATATAAAACCCAAAAAGTAAAACTAATATTCGAAAACGATAAGTCAAAAACTATAAAAAAAAAAAAATTTAAAATTCAAAATCTATATCGAAAATAATGATTGACAGACAAAATGATGGGATGCTATTTAATTGTTCTAAAAAATGTCAAAGAATGGCATGACCAAGTAAATTACGAAAATTTTAATAAAACACATGATTTTTTTTTATAAATAAAACATATGATTTCATATTATTAGGTTCGAATTTTGTTGAAAAAGTGATTTATATAAATACTCACGTCCATGCATATTTTTTTTAAAATTTCATGTGTGCGAAATGGCTTTAGCGAAAAAGCAAATGAACATGTGATATTGGTAAATAACGCGTGAGACCATTCATGTCTTTTCAGAGAGAAAAATAATAATAAAAGTAACTAAAATCATGCATGGGGTCTCCTCTAATGCATTTTCTCCATCATTTTTCCTCCAATATTCATTAGAATGAATAAATAATTAAGTTTATTTTATTCAAAATTAAACAAAAATTTAATCAGAAAAAAAAATTAGAACTATACATGGTCTTCTCATCAAGTGGACAAAGATCTCTTCGTGTTGTCGGTTCATGTTTTTTTATATATAAATATTTTTAAAACAAAATTATTTTGGATTAAAGAATGGCCATTACCTTACAATTTACTAATTAGGTTTAATTTATTCACAGTTCCACATAAATCAAATTCTCAAATCAACCGAATATAAAAAAATACTAATAACATATAATTGCAAAAGAATCCAAGATATGTTTAATCGTGTGTGTGTATATATACATAAACTAAGAAATTAAATATGCATAAATTCTTTCAATAATAGAATATTTTTAAACTCAACTCGTGAAATACAAAACGAATTTTGAAAGAGGAATTATTGATTTGGCTTATTTTTAAAATATGGTTTTTCTTATTTTCTGATAAAATTTTAAAAAAATGATTACCTGTTTTTCCATAAGCGAATCGACGATTAAAGAATTCGCGTTTTCAAATTCACAACGGAAATCTCAAGCGGCGATTTGTACTTTGGAGTTCCATTAGTTTAATTTCCAGATCAAAAATCTAATAATATAATATTTTTTCGGACTAAATGGGTGGGTCGGATGGGTTTCGGACCGGACTCGATTCGGTCCTAACTTTTTTCGGACCAATTTATTTGTCTTCTCCGGCGGCCGTTTCATGCTTTCCCTGGCCGCTTCTCAGGCTCCTGACTACTCTTTCCACAAGGTCCCCTCTCTCTCTCTCTCTGGAAAAGGAGAATGATGTTTGATGATGCTGAAATCGGCCAGGTTTAGGATCGCATGGATGCTATAGTCTCTTTGAATGCTCTTTAATCATGTGTTGTCTCGGATTAATCTGTCTGTTTCTCGGGAAAATTTCCGTGGGGGAAATGATGCAGATTATTCTGTTTGTTTCTCTGGAAAATTATAGTCGCTTTGCTTGCTGTTTAACCAAGTTTGATGTGTATAATTCATTGACTGAAACATATATTTGCAGAACCGTGATGAATTAGTTGAATAGCGTATCAACAAATGGTGAATCAAACTTCTCCATAGATGGCATTGAAATCAAGACTGTAAGATTATTCTGTATCGCAGCCTTTTTCACATATGCTTGTTCTGTTTTCTCTTCTCGATGTTTTGAGCCTCTTACTGTTTCCTGTTGCTATGTTTGGTCATTAAAGTGTATAGACTATTGTTTTATTGAGTCCCTTGTCCATTTTTTACCCTCTCCTTGTTTCGGTTGCTATTTGCTATTGAGGTCTGACTTAATTCGTTATTGATGATGGAACAAGGCCGAGTTGAATGTGTCAAATGGTACTTGGATGGAATCTTTGATCTAATTTGTAAACATACTCAATTTCAAATTGAAAATGCTTTTGAGCTATACAGAGATTAGCTATGCCCTGCTGGTTTACTGTGAGCAAATCTGCAGGGTTCATCAGTGTCAAAACACAGATGAAATAGCATTTAATAGTGTTTGTTGTTGTCTTTTGGACAGTCTGTCTGCATTGGCATCAAATCACCATTTCTGTCTCATGCAAATGAAAATTCTTTTGGTACCGAGTTTCCTCTCTCTCTATATATATGTTCACGTGTCTTTGCCGGTTTTCTGTCTGTATGGAATGGGTCAGAATCTTGGACAGGTATGGTATGCTGTGAATGTTAGAAGTAGCTTGATCGTTCTGTGGGTTCCTAGATGAACAATGTTTTTACCCATCTTCTTTTACGATTGTTTTTCTCTTTCTGATTTACGGCTACAAGAGGTTCATCTCCTCAGTTTTCCTACATGGACATTAAAACATGTTTTGCTTTAGAGGATTTGGTTTTCTCTTCAAAGTTTCATGTCATACATGTCTTTTTGAAACATAAGAAGACGAAAATCATCACTAGTTATTTATTACAAACCCCAAAACCCCATAAAACTATATGGGTAGGTCAGCTTTTCAAATAAAATAACTAAAGGATGACGATGTTTAAATACTTCCCCTGGTTATATATTCGTTTTTTTAATTATTATAAGGGGGTCATATTACGAGGGGTCATAAGATCTTATTGGCTCATTGTTGTGTTTGATCATACACAACAACAATAACAATATCATTATTAATCAAGAGATTGTTAGACAAAAACTTGGTTTTTTTTTCAGGCATCTAGTCATTTACTATTATATGATGGGCTCTGTTTGTTTCAGCTGACAAGATTGGTAGCTTCTGACTTCAGAAATCTTTAGCTTTTTCAAATGACAACTACAACCACCGTCTTCTCCGGCGGCCGTTTCATGCTTTCCCTGGCCGCTTCTCAGGCTCCTGACTACTCTTTCCACAAGGTCCCCTCTCTCTCTCTCTCTGGAAAAGGAGAATGATGTTTGATGATGCTGAAATCGGCCAGGTTTAGGATCGCATGGATGCTATAGTCTCTTTGAATGCTCTTTAATCATGTGTTGTCTCGGATTAATCTGTCTGTTTCTCGGGAAAATTTCCGTGGGGGAAATGATGCAGATTATTCTGTTTGTTTCTCTGGAAAATTATAGTCGCTTTGCTTGCTGTTTAACCAAGTTTGATGTGTATAATTCATTGACTGAAACATATATTTGCAGAACCGTGATGAATTAGTTGAATAGCGTATCAACAAATGGTGAATCAAACTTCTCCATAGATGGCATTGAAATCAAGACTGTAAGATTATTCTGTATCGCAGCCTTTTTCACATATGCTTGTTCTGTTTTCTCTTCTCGATGTTTTGAGCCTCTTACTGTTTCCTGTTGCTATGTTTGGTCATTAAAGTGTATAGACTATTGTTTTATTGAGTCCCTTGTCCATTTTTTACCCTCTCCTTGTTTCGGTTGCTATTTGCTATTGAGGTCTGACTTAATTCGTTATTGATGATGGAACAAGGCCGAGTTGAATGTGTCAAATGGTACTTGGATGGAATCTTTGATCTAATTTGTAAACATACTCAATTTCAAATTGAAAATGCTTTTGAGCTATACAGAGATTAGCTATGCCCTGCTGGTTTACTGTGAGCAAATCTGCAGGGTTCATCAGTGTCAAAACACAGATGAAATAGCATTTAATAGTGTTTGTTGTTGTCTTTTGGACAGTCTGTCTGCATTGGCATCAAATCACCATTTCTGTCTCATGCAAATGAAAATTCTTTTGGTACCGAGTTTCCTCTCTCTCTATATATATGTTCACGTGTCTTTGCCGGTTTTCTGTCTGTATGGAATGGGTCAGAATCTTGGACAGGTATGGTATGCTGTGAATGTTAGAAGTAGCTTGATCGTTCTGTGGGTTCCTAGATGAACAATGTTTTTACCCATCTTCTTTTACGATTGTTTTTCTCTTTCTGATTTACGGCTACAAGAGGTTCATCTCCTCAGTTTTCCTACATGGACATTAAAACATGTTTTGCTTTAGAGGATTTGGTTTTCTCTTCAAAGTTTCATGTCATACATGTCTTTTTGAAACATAAGAAGACGAAAATCATCACTAGTTATTTATTACAAACCCCAAAACCCCATAAAACTATATGGGTAGGTCAGCTTTTCAAATAAAATAACTAAAGGATGACGATGTTTAAATACTTCCCCTGGTTATATATTCGTTTTTTTAATTATTATAAGGGGGTCATATTACGAGGGGTCATAAGATCTTATTGGCTCATTGTTGTGTTTGATCATACACAACAACAATAACAATATCATTATTAATCAAGAGATTGTTAGACAAAAACTTGGTTTTTTTTTCAGGCATCTAGTCATTTACTATTATATGATGGGCTCTGTTTGTTTCAGCTGACAAGATTGGTAGCTTCTGACTTCAGAAATCTTTAGCTTTTTCAAATGACAACTACAACTATATATATATATATATATATATATATATATATAAGCTGCTTTATTCATATAAAATGCAATGATTGATGAATAATATATAGCGAGTTAAAAAAAAGTACAATAAGTACGTACCATACCCTGTACGTTACATCCATGTTAGTTGAGATTCTCTGTTGTCTCTGTTTCGGCCACGATAGAAAACAGTGCACACGCACACATATATACACATAATATATGATGTGGTGAAGAAATGATTGGAGGAAAGGGCGACCTTGCAAGTTGCAAGATTTCAACAATCAGATCCATTCATTTTCTTACTGCGTGTAGAATATCTAGAGCTTGCATTTATTATGGTATGGCTTTATGTGTTCCACTTGTATGCCATTATCTACTGACGCATACGAGTTATACGTTCCGTACAAAACATATATGCTGCTAACAAAAAAAGGGCATGCAATCTGCAAGTCTTGTACATATTATATCCGATTATGTTATGAGATAACAATTACGGAATTGCCGAATCTAATTAGGTATATAGCCCATGTGATTTAGAGTGAATCTAAATACGGTTCTCCTAATTTTCAGACACATTAATACGATTTTTAATTTTATTCACGCCCACGCCCACAAAAACGTCACAAAACCTAACTTTGAAGTTTCCATGCCATCAAACGACAGCCGCCGCCGCGTACGGATGGATACGAGACACAACGCGACCCAAATAACCTGTGGTTCTCTCTCTTTCCACCAGTTTTTTCCATGAGAATTACGATTTTCACAGGAAAATTAAGGGAAAAAAAAACATTTCTCAGTCGCAAGGAGAAGATACGAAAATACGGATGTGGTCCAAGAAGCTCAGATGCTGAGGCCGATCCTTGCGCTTCACATACCCACGCGCCTCCTTCTCCGTGTACGCCACGAACGATCTCCCTCCGTTCCTCTTCCAGAGCTCCTCCTCGTAGCTCTCGTGCGCGTAATACGCCTCCGCCACACACGACGGCGATCCCTCCCCTTCTTCTTCCTCCTCCTCCGACGAAACGCCGCCGTTTCGATCCGCCTTCGCCAATCGGATCTGGAGGCGGACGTAATGGCCGCGGCTGATCCCCTCGAGCTCGTCCAGCCGAGCCAGGCCGCGAGGCGAAACCGCGTATAGCTCGCCGTTGACACGGTGGCCCGATCCGGGGAGGTTGAGGAGGAACGGGACGCGATAGGGTCCGCAGACGAGCGGGAATTTGTCTAGGGTTCGGTAGATTCCCCTGAAGGAAGCATCGCCGGATCGGATCAGGTCCTGCATCAATACATGGTTAGAGAATCCTCTCTTGAGAGTTCCGTACGTGAATACGAGCGTCTTCGTTGCCGTGATTGCTTCGTGGCCCATTGGGAAGATAGGATTTGGATTTGAATTTGAATTTGAGGAGGGGAAGAGGAGGAGGAAGATGAATAGAGGGATCCCAGAGAATTTTCTCGGGAGTGTTTGGTTGGTGAGAAAATGGGGAAGGGGAAACAATAAGATTCGTGGGATTTGTGTTGGTGGAGAGAGGGAGAAAAAAGGAATCTGCTTTGTTTGAGCGATAAATTTGGTGATACCGAATACACCTTTATATAGTCCCAAATTCCATCTGTTGGACCATTTATTTAATTTAACATATGTCATCACACAGTAACCACTTATAAAATAATATATATAATTGTCACACTTGCATGCACCACTTTTAATCATTTTGGTAGGCATTAACCGGTAAAAAGGCATTGAATTATTTACTTGGTTACAATAATAAAAAAATAAATGGGGCCATCAAATCGGAGTACGAAAGATTTTATAGATTTCGATATTTTGTTCAAGTTATGATGGATAAACACATTTTTGTGCATAAAGTTTGCGTATGATTTATATAGGAATCCCTTTTGCTTAACCATCTTCTTAGGTGTTGTGCCAAAAAAAACAAAAGTCTTCCTGTGTTTTATTATTATATTATATTATATTATATTATATGCTATAATTATTGTAATGAAATGTATTTGCTGTCGTGGGATTTACGTGTACTTGCAAAGAGTGGTACCACCACATGGAAGCCAACTTGTCATTATAAATTAAATTCAGATAAATATTAGGGAGAATGATTGAATGACAACAAAAAAAAGTTCCCTGCATATATACTTTTTTGATGAAATTTTTTATATTTCGACACATTAAAATTCGAAAATAAATTGAATTTTAATTAATTAATTAGTTGCAGAAATTATAAGGGGGCCATATGGGCTGTGTGTTTGAATGAGAGGAAAAATGCAAGTGGAAGAGGAAAAAGTGTGTAAATGTTGATAATATCCAAATATTTTCAAACAGATAATAGACAAAAGTAGTTGTTTTGGTCCGTGCGATTTGGTACCGTACTTGCACTTACACGCCTTTCAATACAATCGAACCACTCCCACTACCCCAAAAAAATAAATAAAATAATAATAATTTTTATAAACCACATAAAAATACTAAGAAAACCTTGCCTTTTCATGTTCTTGATTCGGGTTAATGCGAATTCTTAATTTTCTTTAATTCTTATATTTACACTAAGTTTCTGCCGCACTTGAAAGTACTAAGGTAATTCAAAATATTAAATAATCTTAGAATAATACAAAAACATTTTTAAGATTCAAGATAAAACATGCATACTGTTACAGGTGAATGAATCAATCACGAATACACGGAAGAAAATTCTGAGGATGAAGCGTTAATATTACAGATACATATATTATATGTATATATACGTATTTTTCAGATCATTTTAGAATCAGACAAGCTTCTGTCTCCAAATACAAAACAGCTCTATATACGCCAACGAGAATAAACAGAGTATCATATATATAACATGCTTTATTTTCCTCATGTCTATCAATGAATCCATACTCCAAATATATGATATGAAGGTGACTAAAACTATCTACCATTCGTCTCTAAGAACCTTCACATTCTTCCATTCTTATTCTGACTCAATGGGGGGAACATACACAAGTACAACAACGGCGAAGAAGCTTATACCTCAAATGGGCAGCAAAAAGCTTTCGGCTTTGCCTCTGATTCAGTTCATACAGTAATATCCCGTGAAAGGCGATGAGACGGGTAATCCCAAGAGATTCTCTCAGGATAGCCTATGGCTCCATCTGTGCTTCAGTTTATACAGTAACCTGCGAAGAGGTGAGAAAGAGGTGTCAGCCGTTTTTTCTGAGAGGTGAAGGGGTGGAAGTAATAGAAAAGGCTTGACCTTGCTCATCTGTCCCGCTGCTCGTATCTGTTAATTGCTGGGACCTGCAGTCAAGGTTACTACAAGTTATACCGGATAAAAATTCCTTTTTTTTCACCAACTCGTCTCTTCTAGGTAGCTAATTATAGCCTAATTTCTAGACCGATGAGCTAATGCTGTCCCTAACAGTCCCTAACAGCTACCAAAATAACATAGAGATCGAGATTGGTGGAACTTGGCTATTATATGATTCTGTGAACTGCATCTGCGAGCATTTCCCCTTTTATCTCTGCATAAAGGAAGATAAAAGACCTAAAACCCATTGTTGGCACTCTCCTCCACGCATTTCTCAGACCCACCTCATATTTTCTTTAATGCGAAATGAGGAACAAAGAGACCATATCACATCCAACTGAGATCGCAGATCTATTCGTGAAGACCTTTATTGACCCCTTAACATCTGAACTGTTAAATAACCAAACAAGACCTGTGCTATTTCACCCGCTACTTGCTTCATTTGAAATCTCACCACTAAGCTAGTTCAGCAAGGATTCACAATCTTAAACAAAAACCGGCAAAGAGTGGAAAAGTATAATCTAGAGACTTACCATGGCGATGAGGAATGACTTATGCCAAGCCCATTGCAAGTAAGTATCATTCCCTTAAATCTGGAGAGATATTCCTGTGTAGAAGCATTGCGATGCATCACATTAGCAAATGCCAATGGAGCAACCGGGATATAAAAAAATATGAATCGGTCCTCTAAAGCTGGAGAGAGTGCCACATACCCGCAGAGTATACTTGTGAATCTCGTAAATACCAGTTAAATCATACTCAAAACGTTTATCAGGGTCCATCAGCACTGCAAAGACAAACATCAGTCAGAGAAAGGAAGAAACAATGAAAGACATGAGAAAGATAAAGCATTAATCTATCAGTGAACCAAAAAGACCACAACATCAGAAATACCATTTTATTCAAACAGAACTTGACTAGTGAAGTACTATTTCATTTCCCTCTGATAAAAACCTCATAGCTTCCACAAGGAAATAGAACAAGAATCTAAAGATGGAAGGGTTAGTATCCAACACTAAGGAAGGACTCATTGGGAAAATATCGATAGTTAAACCGAACTGAAAGGTGAAGGGCTAAAAGATAATCATCTGATTGTTCTCTAATGTTCTTTTCCACATCCTTCCTTCCAAGACCAAAAATCTGGTCAATGTGACTCAAATCACTCCATACATCACATAGCAAACCCGACACTTTCCATTAGACAACAGAAATAAAGTGGCCGATTTTGATGCCCAAGCAATTTCTTCTGTTCAACTAGCGCTCTCAAACTTGCCCAGATGTACACAATTCTACTACAAACGGAAAGACTGAACCTTCTGTTCAAAGACTTACCATTGTAAGCTTCATTTATCTCCTGGAATTTAGCTGTAGCCGCACTATCACCTTTGTGTTTATCCGGGTGCCACTTCTGCGGATGGAACAAAGTCCAGTGTCTATTTTAACAATTTCAATATTGAAATGCAAGGATTCAAGGAGAGAAATCAGAGACTAACCAATGCAAGCTTCCTATAATTCAATCTGATCTTCTCTTCAGTTGCATCATAATCAACTTCCAGAATCTTGTAGTAATCCTGTGGAGAGACAAGTCCACATTGACAGACCATTCAAGGAAACACAATGAACACCACTTGCAACTTCACAAACACTGAAACACCACAAAACATATACATACATATACTTATGTACACACATAACTTTTAACTGAACAAACAGTAATGAGGGCTCTCAGCTTAAACCCAGCAGAATTAAGTTCCAAAATAGGGAGAATATGCATCTCTTTTTCTCAATCCATATTCAAAACCTAAAAAGGAAATAGCGATTTCGCAACGTATCAACCACGACTTACTTCACATTTCCCCCAGAAAATTTCAAATCCAACGACCTTGATGAACACAAAGATCGACATCGAACTGGAACAGTAATCAGAAAGCAAACGAAACGAATACCTTCGGGGGTGAGTTATCACGGTCTTCCATCCGACGCAGAGATGAACAGAGGAGGAATGCCCACGCACATCATCTAATAGAAGACGAACCCCAAAACCCTAATGGAAAAGGGTGCAGATTTTTTCCTCTTCCCAGACGAAACTGATGGTATTGGATTTTCTGATTTCGTAAAAACGAAATGGAAACAAAATATCGAATTTCGTGGTTTATATTTTCCTTTTCCCCTTTTCAAGAAAGAACGAAAACTAGAGAGGAAGAGTTCTAGCTCTGCCTCTCGAGTTGATATATATTCTTTTTTCTTTTTTTTTTTGTGAAAGGGTCACCGGCCACGGCGTCTCTCTAATCTATCTCTCTCGTTTTTTTGGTTCAGCCTTTTTATTTTCGGGATTTATTGTGAACATTATCCAGTTATATTGGCACGTGAACATTAGGACTCGAAAAAATTTTAAAGATAAGAAAATAATGGGAAAAAAACTGGAAAATGTTCATGAAGATGATAGATACATTTTGTGTAGAAAAGGAGAACAATCTTTGCAAAGACAAGACATGAAATTTAGTGGGTCATGTCCAAATCTGTGAAGTGGAAGTGGATAGAGTTCGAACCCACGTCCAGTTTGGTAAAAGATACATCTTACTTGAAAAAACACCAACAGGTTTGATTTGAACATCTGAGAAAACGGGTTCTCAGAATTTGCGAAATTTGAGGGTCATAGAAACCAAATAAAGGATTGGAAAAAAAAAGAAGCAAAACTTTATACTTGGGCTTGACAAAGTCTGCAAGAAAACACTGTTAAAAAAAGCAATGAAACGGGTGAATCGTTTATAGATGGTGTTATCCTCAACCCCCGTTTCAATCTGGGCAAGAAAACCAGAGAGAAAGGTCAAATCATATGATAAGTGGATCTCTCTCTAAGTGGTAGCTTCTACTTCGGGGTCGGTCTCGACAGGGACAGCAGGCGAGCTGCTGCTGTTTCCGCCGCCTCTCAGACGCGATGACACATTGTCTATGGCTGAATTCAGCTGTCCGATCTTCTCATTCAGAGTCTGTCTTGTTTTCTGATCACCAAAGAAAAAACTTTTTACCAGAGCCTGTTCTAATCGATAAATTGGATAAAGTAAGAGTGCAGAAATTTGTTTGTCCGAGGTTTTACCTCAAGACCTTCATCATAGTAGGCCGGCTGCCTTGGTTTCCTGAAGCCATTTTCATCTTCATTCAGCAACGATCTTCGGATCTGAATACCAAAAATGGAAGACAAATCGCTTCATAAGTTCGGACCCAATATTATAGTTGCAGAGCTTACCTTAGAAACAAAGCTAAATCTACTCGTGTCATTCCTTAAGACGTCCATTATGAGTAAGAGAAAACATTAGCCCAGTTCCTTATCCCAGACTTAATGCTCGTTTTCCATAATTTTATCGGTATTGCACACAAGAGGAATCACCTGTGGGGCAAAGATATATGCCACAGTGCCAAACACAGCACCTCCGAGAAGAAAACCAGCAACAAAATCACTGCTTCCACCCCTATTGCTGTCACAAAATTAACAAGAAGAAGACTTAATGGTGATCATCAATCATAGATCAAGAAATTTCACGAAACACAGGGTCTTTCTGCAAAATCCAAGAGAGAACATCCAGATAAGGACGAAATGAGAGGACTAATGCTATTATTCAAGGTGATGTTTTTTTTAAAGTTTTTCTTCCTAAATTTTGAAACTGATTTAAACTGTACAGCCATCAAATTCTGCAGCTACTCAAAGCAAATCACAAGTATGAAACTTTCAAACCTCTTATCAAGGACAAACCTCGCGCCTCTTTCTCTCACAAATAAAGGGCTAAGTTTCACAATCCTCCATCCCAGCACACCCAAAACGAATGATAATATTAAACATCAGTTTATCAGGAGAAGAAGGATACCGAAACACACCGGTAAGCTGCAGAAACTCCAAACCTGTGACTGCCTCCCACTCGGTTTGATTTCCTTTGAATAGTCAGCCCAGAGGTTTTACGAATGGAACCGAACTTCGTGGTAGAGAATCCGTCTTCTTTGGCAAGAGATCCGCCTATGCCATAAGGTTTAAGAAACAGGATCATGAAGACTACGTACTATACAGGCAAGAATCCATACAGAGGTCATATACCCGTAAAAAACAAACTAACTTTACTACAACACCCTCTTGGAGAAGTTTCTACAAAATGGATCAATAACAAGGATTCAAATTCATAGCCACGAGTGTTTCAACCTGTTCAAATCAATTCACTTTTACAGGACAAGGATACACTTCAAATACGGACTGGGTTCAAATTCCACCCGACTCCGAACCCTTTTAAATCCCATAAACTAGTATCAACCCAATTGACGCAAACAAATCACAAGCACAAACGCAAAATCCACGGCAAGAAACTCAAAATTCGGATCGAGAGTGGACAATCATCTGACAAATCTCCTTCGTCTAAATCCTTGTTTTCCAGTTTCAATTCAAGATCTCCCAAAGAAGAACCAAAGTAACAAGAATGGGGGACAATCCACGAACACAATATAAGGAAACTATTCTTCGAATCGGTAAAAAAAAGCCCAGAATTATCACTCTAAGAAGATCAAAATTAGGAACAGAGAGATGAAACGAAGATAAGAAAGAGGACGATGGTTACCTGAGACAGGAAAAGGAGCTATGCACGACGCCATTGGGAATAAAATGGAAAGAGATCCGGAAAACAGAGAAGAAGATACGAATTGATATTTGGATTAACCTTTAGACTGTCCGCAAAAATCTTCTTTTTCTCCTCCAGGAAATATATGAGATAGATTACCGAAATTACCCTTAGATCGTTCGAAAATATCTCAGATGCCCCCAAAACTAATTCAACAGTCGCCCCTATCCAAGCCACGTCATCAAGATCGGCAAAAAACAAGAGGGTAAAAGAACACGTCAACAAGGAAAAACACGTGTCAAGAAAGCAGAGAAACACACTTGGGGGGTTTGCAGATTTCGACCAACAATCAATCTTTTCGAAACAGTGTTATGTCCTTTTCCTGTCGCTTTCTATGTACAAAGCTGCTGTGATTCTGTCAAGGGAGACCTAAAAGACAAGAAGACCAACAACATTGGCTTATGGTATTATTTTAGTGGACGTTCCGAAAAAAAAAAAAGGGGGAGAGGATTATAAACAGAGATGCAGACTTGAAGAACCATCTCTTCTATCTTCTAGTTCGGGTAGGCACAAAACCCACAAAGCTAAATGGACTTGTCGGTCAAGTCCCTGAAGAGAAACAGTGGAGGAGTATTCACATTCTTCTTTTGCATCTCCTGTTCTGAACTAGACACGGTCATGGGTCTTCTCCTCAAACTCTGCTCTGTCTCCATGGAAGGGAAGGCAAGGGATAGGGAGAGAGATGAAGCTTCTTCTTCTTCTTCTTCTTGTTTTACTTCACTGGTCATCCTCATCATCATCTGATCTTGTGTCTTATGTCGATTACCATCACCATGTTCTGTGAAAGTTACTGTTGTTTCTTCGACTCCTAAAGCAAGCTCAAGGTTTGGGACTGGACCATGCAATAATCTTTGGTTCCCGCACAATGGTATGGGACTGTCTTCTTCCTTTATCTCGTTCAAGTCCAGTGGAAACACTATTCTTTCAGCTCTTTCATCTGTTTCCTTCTTGATCGTCACCATCTTCTTCATCTCATTCTTCTCTTCACCTGACCGATGATGATGATCCCTCGTTTCTGTTGAGGAACTAGGACCGAGCATGTCACCTTTTCTCGGTGCAGAATCTTTACCAGATACCCGACCTTCATTTTCTCCTCCATGATCGGTCTTCGGCTTCTTATTGGCGGACCCTTCATATAAAATTTCACCATTCTCGGAGGAATCTTCCATGGCAGGCACCGTCAGATCCAAAAATGGGCGCTTCCGTTCACCAGCCTGGCCACAACTGAGATTTCGGTCTGAAATGTTTTCTCGCTCCCCAGACCGACCCTCCAAGTCAGTGGCAGTTAAAGCCGGATTCTCTCCGCTACCCGATGTTTCCTCCTCTTTCACTTGAGTGCCATCGCCTATCTTTTGTTCCTCTGCGGGCGGAACCTCTTTCACTAGACCATCTTCATCAGATGAAGCAGAGGATGTCTTCTCACTTTCATTACGAGTACCCCCTGTGCCAGTTGCTAGAAGAGGGATAGGACTAACGCCTGCAACATCATCTTTCGGAGCAGTTTTTTCTTCCTGTTTAAATTGCATGAATCGATCAACATAAGAGAGAATAGTAAAAATAAAATGGTCTAATTGTTTAACTTCAAATGCCTGAATTTGATTAATGTCAACAGTCACTACGCTAAAAAGAAGAGCAGGCAACCACAAAAGTGAGGCCAAAAGTGTGAATTCCTCCAAACATTGAACACATGCTCTTCATGAAATTGCCCGGAAAAACATCAGAGATTCAAGTCACTTGACCAAAGAACCAGAGACAGGTATATATGCATATACTATCAGTGCAGAGAGACATAATGCTTTACCAGGGGATTAGAACATCCCGCCTTGGGGCATGACTGCATACTGCTCGACATAAACCTCGGAGAAAGATTGGAGTCCTTGTTGTTCACTTCTGAACCAATGGATGGGAGCACAATGGAAGATTCTTTGTTATTTAGATCCACATGGCTACTTACGCCCACCTTACTTTCAGTTTCAGTTGTGCTGCAATAGCTCTCACGAGCAGATGGCATCTTCTCCGCATGCTTCAAAGACAAATGCCTTTGATTAGAGAGATTTTGATCTCTATCATGTGGCAAAACATTTGAAGTTGGAGGAAGAGATGGGTTATTCAGCGGGTTTGAAGAACTTTCTTTTCTTCCACGGAATACACCCCAGAGGAAAAATAACATGTTCCAACCTGCCAGGACAACGGATATACAGATTTAAGAGATATACAGTCAACTAAACATTTTCGCCAAAACTTCAAAATAGCACTGCAACATTATAGCAACTTATCAGAGCACGACAAAACACCACAGAGAATTTGATTTTAGAATTTAGTGGTCATGCCAATGAAACACCAGTAACGATAACAATGTAATCTCAAAACTCAATAAAGAAATTTGCCTCTGCCAGGGGGCAATCAAAAAACAAAACTTGCTCGAAAACAAATGAAAATTCTTATATGTTTTATAAAAAGAAACCTTTAGTAGGCAGAAGCCAGATCTCAAGAGGAAAAAAGGAAAAGCAAATAAAAAGCTTAACCTTGTTTCCCGTCAACTAAATCTCGCAAAGACCACATTGTCAACAATAAGAAGCAAAAGAGCCAATTTGGTCAACCACATAGTCAACACGAAATCACGTGCAGAACATGAAAATTTTTTGGTAAGCATTCTTACGCTGGCAGTGCCGGGGAAGCTGGTTGGATGCAAAAATCAAGAGCTCAACACTACCGAGGTTTCCTTTTAGGGCTAAATCTTTCTTAATCATGTTAACTACGAGGGGCTTGTAATTTTTCTCATAACTGCATCACAAAGAGCGTTGAAAAAGGTTGTCAGCAAATAAGATAAACATTTCAACCATGAGGCAGATCATACAGTATTGTGAAAATCGGAGCCGGTGAATGTGTGTGTCTACCTCTCAATGTCCTTGGCAAAAAAGAAAAGGGCTATATGGTCTTCCTTGGCTCCTGTATCTCGAAATTGTGCAGGCCACGTACTTAGCCTAGGCACTTCATTCAAGGGGACTTTCCCCAGGAATTTATTAACCATTTCACGAACCTTAGGTGATGCTAAGGTTGATAGATGTGCTTGAATTCCACTATGCATCTCCAATAGATTTCTGCTACTTTGCACCTCCAAGTCCCCTCTGGCAAAAGAAATAAATGTTTTAGCAACAAGAACTTCCATATTGCATGGACAGATCTATGATGTGCTATTTTGACTAGTAATATAACCAGAATAGAGATCTTATATTCACAAAATAGAAAGAATAACATACTGCCATATATATTCATGCTCTGGTATGGCTGACGTTTTTGGTAGAACAATTGTCGGTACCAAAGGCCAATCTCTCATGACTGGCTTTACGGAAGGAAAATTGACTTCAAGGTCTGCAGATCGTGGAGAATACATTGCATCAGCAGCAGAGAATGGAAGCTGCTTCCCATTAGTTGCGATTGCCTGTTTGTATGGATCAGAAATAATCTTTAAGTTCAGTTCCCCTCCTTGAGGTCCTTCAGATGACATAGAATTCTTAGTTGTCTTCAAAGGCAATTGGCTTTGAGAAGTCTTATCACAACTTGAATCCATGTTAGACACCAAAGATCCATCTGGTAGCTGTGATCCTCTGTTCTTACCAAAGTTGGGCTTTTTACGGAGAGCTGCATCAACGGCTGCTCTCAACCTATTTCCCTTATTTATGTCCTCCCTAAATTTTTTTGTCGTAGAGGGGTCACTCTCAGAAGCACATGAGGTGTCAATTGGTTCTGCCGTCTGACCTTCCTTTTGAGATGCCAGGCCTTTTGAACCAGATGGCAAGCTAGCCCTTGAGCGATTAATAAAGACCTCCTTGCTCTTTTCACCCATCTCACGGAATTCCCTTGACCGAGGTGTTGCATCAGGGGTATTAACAGTGGCATGGCTGGTCAACCCCTCGGTGGGCCTTGAAACGGATGATGGTTCATCCTTCTCATTTATGGAAGATTCTCCCACTGCACACATCAGAAACAAATCACAGGACTTCAATCATGGCATCTTTCAAGACAGCAAATAATCCATTTACAACAACAATATACATAGAATCCCACAAAAAGTAGTGCAACATATGCACCAATACATATCGTACCAGAAGCAATTGGATTTTCCAGACGGTTTCGAGTTAGATTGCTGGTTTGCCTTGTCAAGCTACCTAGTTTACCCTTCAAATCACGGGTATTTTTTGCACGAGAAACAAAAGAATTGCCACGTGAAATTAACTTCTGGTCGTCGGTTGGTACTGATGAGTTAGCTTCAGTACTCTGATCTTTCAGTTGCTTAGAACTTTTAACGTCTTGAAGATGATAAAATTTCGATAGAACCGTTTTCCCTTTTAAATCGTTACCACTAGAACACCCTACTTCTGTAGATCTAATTGACATTGATTTGCCTACAGTTCTAGAAACTCCCTCCTTCACATCAATAGAGACATGTTCTTTAGTTGTCCTTTGTCTTGGGAGAATAACATCATCTACAAGTTTCACTTTCGGTTTTGAGTTGGCATTGAACGAACTGGATCTGAAGAAGGTACCTGTACAAGCAGAAAATAAGGATATACTATACAACCAGCAAAATTATCACAGAAGAGACAAACTAAAAATGCACTTGGGAAGGCATCATACAGCTTACCTTTGGTTGATTGGAACTGGGAATCAGTAGAGTGTGTACTTTCAGCATCATCACTTGACAGACTGGTGAAAGATGTTTGATGGACTAGCGTTCTCTTTGGCTTGTCTAAGGCCTTGAATGATGGTTCTCGAGATAACGCAGCTATTCTGGGGAGAATGGATTTTTTGGGTGAACCTGTAGGACCCTCAACTGCCTGTCTTTTAACATCCAAAGCTGCCTCAGCCTTTTCAGCACACCTTTTGTCAGAGGTTTGTGCATTCAAATTCGGCCCAGTTTCCCTATTTTTCTTGGCCTCTGAAAGTTTCAAGTTCGCCAGACAAAACAGAGAACAATAACTTTAATGCCAAAATTAATTGCTTCAGCATCTTTTTAATCTTTTGCACAAATATCATGCTTGTTAAATTCTTCAGATTTACCTAGCTTCTGTTGTTCAGCTTCCTCGGCAAACTTGCATTCTTCACAAAGCCAATCACCTTCGGGAACTTCATCAATCATTTCCCTCATGCAATAACTAAGCAAACGAAAACAAAACTACATGATTAGCATAGCAAACAAGCTACCTAATTACGGATAGACTACAGAAAAATGTATGTAAAGCTAAACTAAAATCAAATATCAAGATTAAAAATTTGCAAGGATAAATCCCTGAATGGCAATTGGTCATTAGTTTAGGAAGACAAGGTACCCCGTACTTCAAAGGTACTTGATCTTTTCTTTCCCATGAATAGAAGAGCAGGCTTACGTGTGTTCTGCACCATCACTGCATCTGCTGCAGATAGCAAGCAAATCCTCTCGACCCGCATCTCCACAAATATCACAAACTTTTACCTATTGAACAAAAAAGGGAGCGATTTTGGCTTGAGACTTATGCCACTGGAAGATTAGATCCAAAACATGCAACTAAAAGGAAACAGAACCAGGCAACATAAGATATGCATAGCAGTTTTCTGCAAATGAGAGAAAACAGCATTGCTTACATCATGTTCCACCATTTCCGAATCGTCACTCTCATTCTCAGACATAGCCGATGTGTTTGGCCCTTCAGCCTTCTGTGCCTCAGCATTTTCATCTGACTTCTCATTGTTGCTGTCTTGGCAAAAATGTGCAGAACCTTCAGTCATTATATTTTTGCTGTCCCTGTTACTCTGTACTCCTGATTTTTCCTTCATTTTTTCCAGGCCTGAAGAGTTTTTGTCTTCGTGATTGAATGATGGACAAGGTAAAGATTGTGATTTAGCTTCATCTGGAAGAGCACTACACGGGTCTGCCTTCGTGAAATCATGATTTTGATCAGATGCATCCAAAATTGGGTCAGAAACAAGAGCCGAACTAACTGAGGAATCCTTGTTGCATGCCTTTGTGTTAGGATCATCGGCTCTCCTGTCTTCCTGACCTTTGACACATTTTGGGCTCTGATCTAATACATTAGCTGTGGCAAATGGCTTATGATTCACACCAATTTTAACAGAAGATACCTTAGAACTCATCTCAAAAGCTCCTGAATCATTGGATACCTCAGAAGATCTTACAATTTCCTTACTCTCAGCATTCTCAGAGAAAGTATCATGATTCGAATTAACTAGATTGCTGGCTTCACTTGCAGTATGTGAATCGCTGTGAGCTTTAATAACCCTAGAAGAACGTAAAACATCATCCTCGTTTACAGAACACTGACTGGCTGCTATTCCAGGGCCGGTTTCATCTGATGACTCATCACACTTTGAACCTGTGAGGCCGGGAGTGCTACGGTGCAAGCACAATGAACAAGGGGCAGAGCAAACATTGCAAGTTCCAGACTCCATCTTTGAACGACCTTTCCGTCCCATCGAGCGCTTACCAACTTTTTGATCAGCCTGCAAGACATATCATGACACCGCAATTATTAACACAAAAGAAAAAGGTTGGAAAAGAAGATTTAAGAGCATAAGCGATAATCCTAAACAAGCCTGCTTTCAGAGGAAACTGATCCATGCCACTAGATTTCTTCTTCTCCGTTTGAAAATCTGACAATGAGGGAAGAATGTAGGAGAAAAACAGTTCCAGATTCTCACCATGTATATAAAAATTGATTCGTTGAACCTGGAAATAGGATTTTACACCGGTTTTCCAACTGGCAAAATGAAAAAGAGAACACATTAGTGCACAAAACATTATCCCTACAACCACTTAATCAAGCCGGGTGGCAAAATTCCAGTTTAAATCAACATAAACAACATAAGAAAGAACATTAGATAACCCACAATAAATCTAAACGAAGATCATGATTAAAAAAAATTAAGCTAAAACCCCTAAAGAATAACCCAGAAAAGATCAATACTAGCTCTGGAGATAAAACACAAATCAACCATCCATCAATCATATCACAATCTAATTCATTGAGAACAGCAATCAATTCCTAAATGCGAGGAATCCGAAGAAAAATCCCCAAAAAGGAAAATTTCAAAAATTACATGCTTCTGGTCGCAAAATTATCTCCAACGGAACTCGCTCCTCCACCATATTTACCAGCCAATCATAAAAGAAACCCTAACGACCCCTTCCACGAGTTTTTCCCTCCAATAGCCACAAACCCTAATTTCTCTCAATCCAGATCCGCGAACTGTTCTCACCCCCCAAAACACAAAAGGATCCCTCACACTGTTTTCTCTCTCTAACTACAGGGATTCAGTCTAGTTCTCCCTTCCCCGTCCTTCCTCGTGATATACAAACAACAAGGAGCCAGATATGAAGAGATTCTGATATATACTCCCCAGGATCTATACGTACATATATATATAACATACACGATCACACGCAACCGCAAAATTAGAAACTTAATTAATAATATTTGACGAGAAATCGTTGAATTATTAACGCGAGATCTCTATGTACCTGATAAGATTTTACAGTAATTAATTTCTCTTTCTATCTAATTAAAAAACGCGACAAAAGGATCTGTCCTTTCCTCATAGACTATGTTATTTCTAAAATAAATATATAAACACAGAAAATTCCATATATATATATATACACGATACATTATTAAAATATATAAATTTGTTTTTGTAAAATATCAATTAATTAAACATTATCAATGTCCTACATATATTAACTCGACGAGTTATGTCAACATTACATCACATTAATGTTTATATCTAAAAATTTGATAATATTTTATTAATGTATTTTTAAAACTTTTAAAATTTTTATACTTTTATAACATTATTAAATTTGTGTATTAATATGATATTTTCCACTAAAGTTATTGAAAAAATTAATAACAAACATTTGGTTTTATATTTTTTAAAATCCATTTTCAAACAAATTCATTTAAAATTTCATTTATCCACAAATCTAAATAAACTGTCCCCTATAACAATCAACATAAACAAATATTTTGTTTTTTTTTTTTTAAATCCATTTAAAAAACATCAACAAGTCCAAATAAAACATATAAACTGAATAAAGACATTTATAAATATTTTTATTGATTTATCATATAGATAAATTCCATCAACATATACGTATAATTATTTAATTTTTAAAACGATGAATCTCTCTATAGTCATGGAACTCGTTTTCCCCATGCGAAAATTGAACCGTCTATGTTTCTTCTCTCTCCATCTAACCGTTATTGCTTCGAGGAAAAATAAATAAATGGTTGGTGTTATCATTTTCATGGAATATCTATCACTATATATATATATATATATATATATAGCAATGTGTGGTTTATATTAATAATAATATACTACAGTAATTTTTTATTTTGTATTTCCAAAACATATATTTTATTAACGGTTTAGGACAATATAAAAATTTAAATGATAAAATAAATTGTTTTGACAAAAAATGATATCATATTATAAATTCTGAAATTACACCTTCTGTGGTTTAGACAATCCATTTCATCGGCCCAATTTAAACGGCCCTAATTTATTATTTAAATGATCATTTAAGAAACAAAAAATCGAAGGCTATTCTATAGACATCTTCTGAATGTAGATTCAGATAAAAGTAGGGGTGTAAAATGGGTGGGCGGGCCGGGTTCGAGTCGGGCTTAGTTCGGGCTTAGATTTTTTTGGGTCGGATCGGTCCACCCATTTATTTTTCGGACCTATGATCGGTGGTTCGCAGTCTGGTTCTATAGGGTTTCGGGCGGATTCAGACCGGGTTTCAGGTTTTTTCTATTTAATAAAAAATAAATATTAATATATAATAATAATAATTTAACAATTAAAAAAACAATAGCAAATTTTCGTCTATATCAATTATAATTAAAAAAATTAAAATCTAAAAAATAATCATGTAAAATTTAAAATATATAAATTATATAATATTTTTAATATATATAATATATGAAAAATATAGTCTTGTT